AATTAAGATGGATTCCTTGATTTTTCGTTTGTTTGTGTTTGGTTCTTTGTTTAAAATTATTGTGTTTTTATTAGATATAAACAAGGGGAAGAGGAATCACACAGTGAGAAAAGATGATGACTGCCTTGAAAAGGGGCATAACAGATGAGATAACAATAGACTGCCCATACAAAGTACAAAGAACATAATAGGGGAAAGAACTATCAAACAGAGAAGGGAGTGTGAATAGAAAAGTAAAAACAGGTGGCAAGGGGAGTTGAAAAGGTGTTAATTAGAGAATTCCCAAAGTGAGGCAAATCCACTGAACACCAGAGGATGTAGAGAACACTCTGAAGAAAGGATCCAGTCTAGATGAGACAGTCAATCTGCTGACAGGCTAACAGCTAAAAGTGGTGGTATGGGCATCAAAAAAAAAAAGATTAAAGTAAGAAAGCAGAAGTCCTAAATGCAAGTACCACCCTGTTACCTGATGTAAGAAATGACAGTGAAGTTGTCTGAATAGATCATAACTGGATGGCCAGACAGATGACTATAAGCTCATTTAAACCAACATCTCATGGAAACTATTCCTGTGGAGGTCAGACCCATGAAAGAGTGCAGGAATCTGATAGAGAATAGTACTATCAAAGAAACCATATCATATTTCCAGAACATGTGTCTCAAACTTTCATGATGTAATTTGAATGATAAGCTCTTCCTCAAAATCAATAAAATAAAGGTAAAAAAGAATGTGTTACAAATAGTAACTAAAAGTTTAAAATAATAAGTTAAAAATTTTCATTATTTTTAATGAAACAAAAACAATTCTAAAGCCGTGCAATGTCAAGAAAAGAATAAACTTGTAGTAAAAACAACATGTGCTCAAGAAGACTACTGCACATGAAGAATGTGTTACTCTCCTACCGGTGGAGGGCTATAGAATACTGCTGAATGCATTAGACTGATGCAGTACATGTTTATAAGTATACGAGTAGAAGTTTGTTTCTCAGTGACATGAAGTAATAATTCTCAGTTCTGTGGAGAGGTTATTAACATTTTCAAAAACAGTATCTAATATACAATCTCAGCCAATCATTGTAAAATATTAAAATTTCTGCTTAAAAAGCTTTTTCTATAAATTTATTGTAAAAACAAAAATGTTCACAAAATATCTTTCAGGCTTTAAAACTATGAACAAGTCTTTAAATATTTTTAAGAACCACTTAAACTTCAATGAAAAAAAAAAGACCATAGGATGGAAACTATTTTCACACATTAACAAAAACACCCATCCACTAGAGTTGCGTGTACATGTGCAATGAACAAAATTAAATCACAGTTATAAAATATTCATTTTTTGTGTTGAAACTAGACATTTACACATTTGAAAAACATGTTGCATCATTTTAATTAGCTTTAAAAAGAAAGTAAAGAAAAATTGTTTCTAAATAATGCAGTACAAACACAAGTGTTATTGTTATAGTAATTCTTACCTGCAAAATGCAATTTACTTTCCATAATTAAAGACCACTTTTATTATAGAATATGAATGTACTTATTGAACTCATAGGGAGGGGGCACAAGCAGCTATTTGTCATCTGCACATTATCTAATATTGTCACATGACATAGTATCATGCATGAAATCATGGTATGCATGTCTGGACAGGGTAATAACAAAAAATTAGCATTTAATAGTTAATCTCTAAACTTGTAAAGAACAATATTACTTTACAAAGGAAAAAAAAAGACTGATTTATAAAGCAAAAACAGAAAGGCAAAGTACCTATACTTAAAAAAAGAAACTAAACTTTAATATCTAAAACTTGTATATTGTATATACTGCTTGACTGAACCATATAACTAACCAGTTGGTAAACCTATTGTAACATTAACTGACCATCCAGATACTTTACACATTTAACTACAATGAACAGTATATATAATTTTTAATCAACTTATATTGTACTTGAGCTTGTATTGATTGTACTAAAGTGGATCAATTAAAATAAAATATGCTTTTACAAAAAATAAAAGCTTTTCTCAAAGATAAATCATTTGTAGAATCAATTTTTATTCACAATTGCCATTATTTCTACAGTTAAATTCACTAATAGGTATTTCTATTATATTATAAGATTATGTCACAAATTCACAAGCAAGAACAGATTTGTTACAAATAATACAAACAGTGATGTTTTAAGTAACACTTTCCTCTAATAGTTTTAATACACTTATTATTCAATTTCTAAATATTTTTTGTAATCTTGTGTTTCAGGTGAGTAATAGTTATAGTCACACATCATAAGGCAGTAGTATATGATTAATATATTCTTCACGTCTAAGCTTTTCTGATAATTTCTGTGTGTGTGTGTGTGTGTGTGTGTGTGTATATTGTCACAAATATAATTTTTCCAATAATGCCTTTTCCATAAGCTTCTAAAGCATGTGGACAGACTGTCTTTGAACAAAAAAATGAGAAAGAATTATTCTATCAAGTTCATCAGTGAGTTACTGTTTTAGTGTTCCTGAAGTACATCCAAGCATTGTGCTGTTGCCAGTGGTATGGCAAATAGAATTTTAGGTGCATCTATAGAGATAATGAATACAAGTCTAAAGAGATTAGAATGTCGTTATACAAGTAACTTGTTAGACCACATTTGAAGTATTGCAGTCTTGGGTGCCTTATTATAAGATCATTGAACCATTGGAAAAGGTTCAGATAAGGGATACTAGTATGATACCTAAAATGGAAAGGTTGTCTTAAGAGGACAGGTTAAGATTTCTGTAGTTGTTTTCTCTTGAGGAAAAAAAGTTGGAGAGAACCTGATTGAAGTGTTTAAGGTTAAGGGAAATGATAGTGTCAATACATCATCTTTTTTTCTTACTTAATAGTGCAAATGATAGGACTACAAGACAGAAATATAAATTTTGTCAGGTTAGGAGTTGGCTCTAGTTAAGACAGTTTTTTATTTTCTAACAGAGTGGTGGTCCTGTGGAATGGGTTGCATTCATATGTGGTTGATGCAGGGAAGACTTGATAAAAATTTCAATATTTAAGTCAGTTTAGTGGATTAGGTGGCCCAAACTTTTTAGCCCCCAATTTAATCCTATGTACATAGAGCAGATGTAGTGTGTGTATAACAAGAAAACATGTTTGCACTTACACTACTGTTTGATGGGATGTTTTTTTTCTTATATGCTACAACTGTAGAAATCAACCAGATATATCCTATAATAATAGGTATTCCTTTTAGCTCTACTTTTTATACTAATGGTACTACTGCACTAAATAATGGTTGAAAGAACATTATTCATCAATCCACTTTTAAAGGTACTTGTTATCCCTACCCCCCCCCCCAAAAAAAAAAATTCTAGATATACTAGAATGGTCAAAAACCTTCTGATCTTTTCCAAGGTCTGTGAGTACTTTTGGGCTTCAAAACTCAATACAAAGTACTTTTTGAAACCCAACATTGGTTCAATGTAGTTCAGCACACTAAAAATTGGGGAGAATAATGAGTCCCTTTAAAATTACATGTGAGTATAAGCTGTTTTGTTTTGCTCCCCAAAAGTTTTGGTGTTGGCTTCACCACTATGTATGTTAGTCAAACATTATGCAAATTGATGATCCTGTATACTGTGCAGAATATATATAATTGAATTGTACAGTAAGAGTTAAACATTTTTCTCCAGTTAGGCAATATTTTGGCTCTACTATATGCTTCTCTTCCTGAAAATAAAGATCCCTTCCAAATTGTGGACCAGTAATGAGACTTTCAGTCTCAACACTGAATTTTAAGTGATACAATAACAAAACTTATGGATAATTCTAACAATAAAACTGCCAAAACATCACCCACTTCTACTGTGTTACAAAATCATAGTTTTAAAATTATTTTTTCAACAAACATTTTAAAAACAAGTCATCTAGTACAATATTTTTAATTCGGTTTCATTTACATACATGCTAAATAAACATAGGGTATTAACCAGTAAATGCAAATAAATAAATATAACTTTTTGTATAACTACCCTTTGATGAAACATATGTATTATGTATCTTTAAATAAAAGAAATACTGTAACATAAATGAACTTAAAAAAAAGAAACGTATCACTATTACAAGTAATAGCTAATAGTACTACAAACAGTTATTATAAGTAATATTTTATTACAGGTTACAGCTTTTAAAATAAGGAAAATTCTCCTTATTGTAAAAGCTGTAACTTGTAAGTTGTAATAGAATAATAGTACTTAATCAGTAAGTAAACTCAATTGTCAAAACGAAACAAATTATAACTTATATGTAATGTTTACATTAATCACTGATTAAGTCACTTACCCAAAACGAGTCTTTAAAAGATTCCATGACACCAAACAGTTAAACAATCATTAATGCCTGATGTTACTCGCAAAGTAAAAACTCGAGTAAACTCATAAACGTTAAAGCAGATGTATGGTACTTTTTTACAAAGTCTAAGGTTTCATTCAAAACTGGAAATTGGCACTAAAGTTTGGTGTGTGCTACTCAGATCGGAAACAAAGCAATGACGAACCAAGTACTACAACAGTACTTGTAATAGCATCTTGTATGACACTTTACAGATAGTTGTAATTCATAAATTATACTATAGTGATACTAATACTATTATTATTACTAACAGTAATATATTAGTAATAGTAATAATCCTCAATATCGTAAAGCTACATATTATGATCTTACAGGTATTATACATGTAATACCGATTCAATTTGTTCAAACGAAATTACTGATTAATGTTTCCGTACTTGAGAAAACCTTATAAACTAATAACACCGACAACTCAACCACTTCACATCATCAATTAAAATAACAGTAACTTGAGTAAAACAAACTTGAATTTCAATCCGGATATATTTATCCCGCAGTTCAATAAAAAAAAGAAACACTTGAATTCAATTGGGCAATAATTGAAAATATTCCATTTGGTAATAGACAAACATTAATATATTAACATGGATATTTTAACATAATGTGAAATACCTATATATTTTAAATTAATATTTTATATAACGTATAACTTAAAATGTTTTTCACATAAATCTTCAAAATTTGATTGAGTGCGCAATGAGTTAAGTGTTCACATGGTTTACACCAAGAAAGCGAAATAAGTCAGAGAAAAAACGAATTATGTCGTCGGATATTCCATCTGATCATCCTGAGTAAGTTTACGTTTATATTTTAATGAACAGTTATTTCCAAACTGTGCATGTAATTCATTTAAGTGATCATTTTCAGTTTTTATTTATGTTTATTAAGGATTGTATTCGCAAGAAATTAGGCTTAGAAAACGAAACCAAAAATTGGTATACTTTTCCTTGTATTTTTGTAATTGTAAATTATACATTATTAGTATTACTAATACCAGTATGGCTTTTAAAAAGCATCGTTCTAATTTAGTAAAATGTATTTCTGTAAGAACTACTTCCAAATATTATAAAGGCTTTAGTTTAAAACTTTAATAAACTTGAATTTCAAAAGACTTGTTTGTTTAATTGTAATGCAAGTAAATAACTAATATATATTATATTATATAATATAACATTATAAGTAAAATTAACTTCCTATCAGAGTAAATGAAACAAACAGTCAATCTGGCAATCATTATGTCTAATTAATTATTAAGTATACTTTTCTATATATAAAAATTAGATTACATTGTTTCAAGTAGGTGGGTACCTGTGCTACTATTGCTAGTGATAGCAATAATAACTGGTGAGATTTGGCCACTGTTGAAGATATAGATAGGGTAGTCCTAAATAAAGGTATTAAGCTAACAATGCAAAACAATATTTATAGTAAACTTTTAAGAATAATAATAAACCATAATAAGTATTAACATTATGTTTAATATATCTGTTCTAGATGAATTGAAATGATCGTATATAATACTAATTGGGTATACTAGTACTACGTAGTATCATCAATATTATTAATGAAAGTAATAAGAAGTAAATAACATACCTAGAGAATACAGAAATACTAGCTGTCTCCTCAAAGTATTGTCATAGAGCAAAATTACTTTTAAAACATGAGCTTTTTATAACTTGCTTAATTTCTCTATTCTTCCCTATTGCATTTTTTGACAAAATAAACTCATTAGGCCAGAATATAGCATTAGAGGGGAGAGTCTTCTGTATTCAGTACATGTTATTTTTCAAACTGTGTCAAATGTCTAGCAGTAATTTTCTTATAGTACGACCAAAGCTTGTGTTTATGAAGATAGAGAACAAAAATGATACCTGGACTGTACATAACTTTTAAATTAGTAAGCACATGTTAATGAAATTTGGCAGATTATCAGTAAGCATTACAATGATTTCATATGCAAAATACCAATTTTTTTTATTCAGTTTTAAGTTTTGTTAGGCAGTGTTTTTCTCATGCCTTTTCTTTTTTCATATTTCCTATCCAACATGTAAAGTAATTTTAATTTTCTCATATGAAATCTTTATAATGTCCAAATATTTATTAAATGTTTCTTAAGGAAAAACTTTATATTTTAAATGTTATTTTCACTAACGAATCTCTACGGGTTCGGTAGAGTTGACCGATCTTATAACTAAGAAATTAGGAAACAAATATAAATTATGCCTCTTTTTTTTTCTAGAATGGCAACACATTATAACACAAAACCATAAATGTTTAGACTAAATAGCTTAAATATCACAACATTATACATTTATATATATTCATTATTTTTATTATATTGACCTTAAAACCATGCCTGGCTAACAATACAGTAGTTAAAATGACATGGCACATGTGCTCTCATGTTACTGTATCCAATAATGTAAAACTGACTTTTAGTCTTTACAAAGTGACCTATCTTGGCTGTGTTTTAGTAGACTAATATTTTGTAAAATACAATCATATTTCAATTATTATACTTTATATATGTATATAGATTATTACTATTTAGAAATAAGTTCTTAAACATATTTTTCTTAAAACATTGAACAGTAAATAAAGAAGTAAAGCAAACAATTACTTCTAGTTACAGCCTCTATACTCAGTTGCTGCTTGACGTAGTTTGCTAAGTCTTTTAAAATTTCACACGTGGAGGAGATGAACCGAAATAGTTTTTTTTAGGTTTTATATATACAGTTGAATAACTAAAAAACATAAATGACTATGTCAATACTATAGAATTCCACTATAATTTATTGAGCTTGGTAACTAAGCTGTATTTGGTTCTACAAAAAATATTAAATTTCGAGTAGACTAGAAACACAACTTACCTTCTTGAAATGTTGGTTCAAAAAAAAGATAGCTTGCTAACACATGAAAGTGGCTGAGAGAGCCACTAGAGGGACATTCTGAGCTTTTGATTGGTTATTCACATATCATATATTGAAGTAAGTAAATGAAACTATAGACTTAGTATTTTCACAACACAAACATCTAATTTGAACCAGTGCTGCATTCAGCATACCATGTAACATACAAAAATCAATGTTTAACTATGTTTTTAATATTTACTTTTAAATCAAGAAATTAAATAACATTTTGTCAGTGTTTATTACATAATAAATATGCTTCATACATCACAGTTTGAGGTTTTATTCAAAATTAAATTTTTCTAACAGGATAGGTTTGTCATTATATGTTAAACAATAAATAATGGAAAATCTATATGCAAATATGCATCTAATTTATACACATTGTTCAATCATAATCAAAAACCCCTTTTTTTTTTAACGACAAATTTTGTGACTAAACATATTGAAGAAAAGAAAGTCTATAGAATGAACAATTAAATAAAAATACACATAATCTCCACCCAAAGTAATTAACTACTTTTTTAACTTTACCAACAGGGAAAAATTAATTTTCACATAAGCTATAGCTGCTGTTTATTGTGTTATCACCAAGATAAGACTTTATCCAACAATTTCATCCAACTCCTAAATCACCACATTTTTGATAAAAATGCTTTATGTTTTACATCAATAAACCACCCATCAATAATTCTTTCTTAGCTTAGTTTATGTTACATAAATATAGTGCTTGATGAAAGGCATCTGCCCAAAACATCACATAAAATAAAGTTCCATTTAGATGTTTATTAATTTGTCCTTTAAAACGTTTTTATCTTCTGAGTTATTAAAGTAGAAAAATAAGACACACGTGAAGCCTGACTTTAAATTTATATAAAGATAATAGAGAAACACAGAAGAGGAATAAAAGATATTTACTGAAAATAAGTACAGACATTATGTTGTGCTTCAAGACAGATGTGTTTTACCTTGTACTCAACTTCAGCTAGTTGGTTCCATTCTTTCCTTTTGACTGTTTTAAGTGTCCAATCTACTTGGTATCAATGTAATAAGTTTAGGTACTAACAAGTATTGGAATAATATAAATTCTGAGGCTACTATTTCATTCAAACACTCTGTACAAGTAGTAGAACTCCAGCACTTTTAAATAATTAATTTACTTCAATAAATAAATTAATTAATTGAAATTAACAGAGCAAAACTGGCATGTCTGTACTTTACTGTCAGCCTAGTAACAGAGAAAGTAACAATGAACAGAGGATATATGTAACTTTGTGCAACTAAAGCTTTGTTTTATTAATTTTTTGCAAAGCTAACACTTGGGCTAGCTGCACATAATTGTCTTTAAATTTAAACTGAAAGATTAAAGGGAAGGCAACTAGTCAAAAGCACCCATAGCCCTGAGGTGTGGAGCACATTTTTTCAACAACTGAATACAAACTACAAATCCCCAGATTTATAGTCTAGATACACTAATAAATAAATAAACCACACTTACCCTGAAACCAATAATTAATCATGTAACCAGGACAATCAGGACATGAAAATGTAAAAGACAGTCTTATCTCTTATTTTCAGCAAAGAGTAAGACATGGATAGCCATACATAACCACAAGTTACAAGGATGAAATTCCAGTTCTTTGGTGAAGTGTTCAAAGTAAACTACAGTAAAGCTGAATACCTGAATTTTTCAACAGTCAGATTTACGTAAGAGGAAAATGTTTTCTCAAGGACATCACAATATCCACACAATAGAAATATAATCATTAACAGTGCAGAAAAGCAGTTTGACCTTCATTAGAAACTTGAGACTGCAGGAAAACAACTATTTTCCAATGGTTATCCCTGCAGAGTAACCACTCCTATACAAGGAGGAGACACATCTCAACATTTGTACATACTTCAGTATAAATACTTGACCTTTCTAGTACTATACACATTTCCAGTAAGCATAAAACAATATGTGGTTATGTATCCAATTTTATACTGATGTAAAAACAAATTTTAAACCCGAAATAAAAGTGCACCTTTACCATAAAACAATATTTTGTGTAATCACTGAACATAATGCAGCAGACCTCAGAAATCTTCCACTCCAACAGCATGTTTATCTATACAAATTATTACATTAATTTTCTTAATTATAATTATAACATATGTTTGACATTATTCCTAAAGCCAAAAAAAAAAAAATTCACTTTAGCTCTTTTGATACTATAGCATCTTAGAATTAACCACATTTATAGAAAACACCTAGTCATTACCAAAATTATTAATAACTAATTATATTAAAACTTACATTGTTTGGTCTATACTTCTTCATTCCTGCTAGAAGCATTTCTCGCTGTTCTTCAAGGTGGTTCGTATCTTCTACAAAATGTGTCAGAAATATAAAGAAGATAAATATTAATGACTATCTAAATAGCATGCCTAATGTTGCACCAAACTGGACATTTTAGCAGATTCATAAAGATGTAAGAAGACCCTCTCTGAAATTATTAACTAATTAATTACAATACAAACATAATTCACAAACTACTCAACTGCATATACAATCTATAAGAAAAATAAATGTTTTAACTATGTTTGTAGTCTGCAACAGAGACAGAATATTTAGGTACATTGACCTTTACTCTTATTATTTGTTGTTAACCTTCTCCAGATGGGTCATGGGTCAAAGGCCATGTCATGAATTTGTCAATAAGTTTGGTATCAAACTGTAGATTATAATTCAAATTTTAGTATTATACAAAAAGTGAATGCTGATTAAACTGTTTTCTAAGAAAAGAGTATTGTTTATGTTTGTAAAATGTTTCATAAAAAAGATGTTTAGTGTTAAATATATTTTAGGTGAAATAGGAAATGTTAATTGAATCCTTAAG